CACAATTCCTGCATATTCCATTCTTGTGATTTCTTAAATTTTTCATAATCTTTGCTTGTGTGGTCTATTTCGTCCACTTTATCTTCCAGTGTTGATACTCTTTTTTCCATGTCATTCATTCTATTGGGGAGGTTTTCTCCTATCATTTCTAATAAGCTTACTGAGTGTTTTACTTCCTTCTTCATCTCAGCCTGAGTATTCTTTAATATTTCTAGCTCTTTTCTGAATTCATTCAGAAGTTTATCCCTATCTTCCTTCAGTTCTTTGATTTCTTTGTGTATTCTTTAAATTCACTGAATTCTTTTATCATGTTTATAATTATTCTTTTGAGTTCCGTTTCCTGCATTATCTCTTGGGGGTTCTCATTGTACTCCTCTAGAGGACTATTGGTATTTGGTGGGGATACGTCATTTTGTTTTTTCATGTTATTATTTTTTCTCTGTGATTTTGACATGGGAATTTCTTTTGTAGTTTCTGATTCTTGTGTGAGACTCAAGCCTTCAAGTTTAGGTCTGCTTATTTTTGTGAACTTTATGTGTCTTTGTGGTTTACTTTTTGGTCATGAGAAGCTGATTCCTCTAAGCTTCCAGTTCTCTCTTTTGATTTTATACTGGAGTGGCCAGATTGCTTTCAAAGCCTTGCTGCTCAGCAGTTCCGTAGAGGCCCAAGGATTAGATGCTATCAGCCTTTCTCCTAAGGTCCCGATCCCTCCAGGAAAGATGCTTGCCTTAGGAATTTGTGGGCTGGCCTGGCCTGGGAGCAGGGCCCAGGAAAGCTGCTGGCCCCCAGGGATGTAAAGGGAAGTCTGGGTGAGAAACGGCTAAGATGGGGGTGGTAAGTGGCCCCAAGGGCTCCTGGGGACTGCACTGAGGAGCTGGGTTGGTCCTGGAGAGAGAAGCCTGTGGGTCAGAGAGAGGCCTGTGGTTTGTGCAGGCCCAGGGAAGCAGAGCTCTGATAGGTTTTTTAGTATCTTAACATTGGATCAGAAGCCACCATTTCAAGAAAACAGTAAAGACTTCAAACTTGCTCACGAGCAAGTCTGGTCTTTGCCTTGTCTCCCAGAAGGCAATCCTTGTTTAATAGGGGATTTTGAGTCAATGAGGTAATAACAACATGGCTTGGGGAAGGACCTTTAGGTTACAGGGTACCAGCCAACCATTCCGTGTGAAACAGAACCCCAACAAAAATTCTGAACACTGAATCTAGCAAGCTTCGTGTGTTTTGCTGTCCATCCATGCAATGACAAGGAGTTGTGTTAGTTACCATTCTAGTTGCTGTGACAAGACACTCTGACAAAAGAACTTAAGGGAAAAAGGGTTTATTCTGGTTCACAGAAGCTACAGCTCATCGTGGTGGGGAAGGCATGGCGGCAGGAGCCTGAGGCACCTTGGTCACATTGCAACAACAGTCAGGAAGCAGAGAGAGGAATGCTGCTGCTCAGTTGGCTTTCTCCTTTTCATTCAGTTCAGAACCCCATGGGCTTGGTATACATGGGATGGTATTCCCCATAGTTAAAATGGATCTTCCCACCTCAGTTAACCTGATCTAGATGATATCTCACAGGCCTGCCCAGAAGTTTGGCTTCTAGGTGATTCTACATCCTGTTAAGTTGACATTATTAACCAACACAGGAGTCCTGACTCCATGGGAGGGACAATGGAAGCTCCATTTGTGCTATGTCTATGCCTTTCCTGAGCTCTACCCTGTGTACATCTCTCTGCTGTTGTTAATTGGCCTCCTTACCTGTATTATGGCTTGGATGTAAAGTGTCTCCCACAGGCTCATGTATTTGAATACTTGGTCCTCAGCTGGTGGTACCTTTTTGGGATGCTGTGGAAACTTTAGGAGGGAGTGGATTGCTAGGAACAGGCCTTGAGAGTCATAGCCTAGAGGACTTCCTGTCATCCCTCTCTTTGCTTTCTGTTCCATCAAGATGTGAGGAGTCTGAGCTCTGGTCACCATGGAACTTCCTGCTGTCATGCCTTGCACCATGATGGACAGTGTCATCAGAAACTGTGAGCCAAAATACCAGCCCTGCTTGGGTTGCCTTTGACAGATACACTGCCAAGTGACGAGAAAAGTAACAAATGCACCCTACAAGCAATCATAACTGCATATATGATGGTTTCCAGTGAAATCTGTGAGTCCATCAAGAGAAATAGCAAACATGAGGGTAGTCTTGGGAACCCAGCATTTGTAGTTGGTGTTGTGACGGTGTCTTGTGAACTGTGTGTCTAACAGCATAGCTAACAAACTCTGCACCTTCTGTGACACCTGACTGCTATGGCACCCATCTTCAGTTTTCCATGCCTCCGGTTCATTTTGTTTTATTTTTTATTTACTCATCTGCTTCTGCTCTGCCTGTTTCTCCCACCACAGCAGTGTCCCTGGGCGAGCCCTGCAGGTGTTCTCCGTGTGAGGACCCAGGCATGTCATGCTCCTCCACGCTGCATTATTAACCTTATTCAACTCAAAAGGCGGAGTGTGGCTTTTCCAGAGAAGTCAGGATAGGCCTGTCTTGTTCCGATTGCTTCCTGAAGACTGAAAGTGTTCACTGTTATGGTGAATTGAACATCATGGATGTTCGACAGGAGCTCTGTCACTGACCTATTATCTCCAGCCCTTAAAATTTAAAAACAAACCGAACGAAAGTGTAGAAATCAGCAAGCAGAGTACATTGAGCAGCCTAGCCACTTAGCGGGAGGGCAGTAACCAGGTCCCGCCCCTCCATCCAGGTCTGCCTTGGTCCCAACCCCTTACTACTGGGTCCAGTTGGGCTCCCCCAGGAAGGTTCCAGTGGGTGGGGGGGGGGGGAGGCGAACAGCAGCGGTATGCGCACGCGCAGAGTGTGCGGGCGCGGTTGCCGTGGCAGCGCGCTGCCTGAGGGAGGGCGGCGGCGCCGGGCCGGGACCCTGGCGCGGTGAGGAGGCGACACGGCCACCCGAGAGCGTGGCGCGGGGCAGGCTGAGCCGCGGGGGCGCCGCCCTGCTGGCCAGCGGGGATGCGGGACCGCCTGCCAGACCTGACTGCGGTGAGCAAGCGAGATAGCGGTCCCGGCCGGGTCCAGGAAGAGGCTCCGGGGAAGTCCTGGAGCGGGGGATCCGGGAGAGACTTGGGACTGGGGCTCTGGGAGAGACTGGGGGGGAGAGGATCCAGGAGAGATCTGGGGCGGAGAATCCGGAGAGACCTGAGGAGGGGATCCTAGAGAGACCTGGGGCGGAGGATCCGGGAGAGACAGGGAGGGGGTGGGGGTGGGGAACCCAGGAGGGTCCTGGGGAGGGGGCTCTCAAGATTCTAGGGGTTCCGGAGACTCTGGGATTCAGGGTCTGGCTTGGCCCCATTTTAGGACTCCACACAGACCGAAGCTGGCACTGTTGGGCGTGGTCCAATAGGGGTCTGGGGCAGGGCTTCCCACTGCTCCTCCTGGCACTGCTCCGCCGCTGCCGTGGGCTGATGCTACTCAGCTTGGGTCATGGTCTTGTTGGCCCCCTGACCACCTGGATTTGAAGGGGTGAGTCTTGAGTGGCTCAGGGTCTCAGGGAAGGTTCCTGGGCTGGGCTGATGCCTGATGCGTGGTTGGAACTCATCACTGCACAGCTTGCTTTGGTTCTTTGCAAGGCTTTTATCACAAGCAGAAATGCCTGCCCCGCCTTGGAGGGTCCCCTTTCCCACGGCTTTGTGCCCTAGCCTGACACAGGCTGCTCCAACTGTCCCACACAGACACTGCACACAAACACGGAGCTCAAGCCTGGGTGCCTGGTGAGGTAGGTGCCACCCTAAACTGCCTCAGGCATTTCCCTTGTACAATGGGGCCTGAGACGTGTTTAACCCAAGGCTGCGGTACTGTGGTACTTTAGGCACTAGTGAGTGGTGCAGCAAGAGCAAGGGAGAGCATTTAAAAGGGGAAGGAGTTTTTAAAAATGCATCTCCATTTGCAGTGGACAGTTAATTGTATGAACTTTTAGGGTACAATGTGACTTTCCAGATATAGTTGCAGTGTGGGATCTGATCAGGGTGATTGACATACTCTCTTAGACATTTATCATTTCTTTGTGTTGAGATTCTCAAAATCCTCTGTATTAGCTATGCAGACACGTACTGTTAATTCCTGTCAACCATAGTTATTCCAGTGTGCTCCAGAACATTAGAAGGCATTCTTCCTCTCCAGCTGCGCCCCTGAATCCAGCTGCCATCTTTCCGTTTGTTGTCCACACCCATTCCAGGTTCTGAAACCTTTGTTCTTTACTCCTTTGAGAGCAACTTCTTAACTTCCACATGTGAGCAAGGACATGCAGTATTTGTGTTTCTGTGCTGATTTAAAAAATAGATTTTAATTTATTTTTATGTGTATGAGTGTTTTGCCTACGTGTAAGTAAGTGCACCTATGTGGAGCAGTGTTAAGTGTGCCTATGTCGTTGCAATGCCTGCTGAAACCAGAAGAGGGCATGGGGTCCCCTGGAACTAGAGTTATGGATGGTTGTTAGCCATCATGTGTGTGCTGGAAACCAAACCTGGCTTCTCTGGAAGAGCAGTGAGTGCTCTTAACTGCTGAACCATCTCTTCAGCCCCCCTGCTGACTTCTGTTTTGGGTCAGCCAGCTGGAGGCCTTTCCTTGGACCCAGTAGAAATGCCTCTAGTACTGGTCTGGGTAAATTTTATTGACAGTGAGAGAGCAGCAGCAGGTGGTGCCCTCTAATGTCACAGTGCTAGGCCTCTGGAGTGGGACCCTTAGCTCCACAAGTGTCAGAGCTTTGTGCAGGCCTGGGAAGTTGGGATGCCTCTGTGACAGTGGCTACTGTTACTGCTCTCAGCCCAAAAAACCTGATAGCTGTGGGACTTCCAGGACCAGGGCTCATTTGTTCTCTGCTCTGTCTCTTCTGTGGGTCTCTACCTCAGCTCTCTGCTGTTCCTCTGCTCCTGCCTGTCACTCCCTTGAACTGTCTGGCTACTTATTGCCACAGCTACCATTACACTGCTGCCCCTGCTCCTGCTGTTGTTGGCCACTAGTCTTGTAGCTCTATCCTTCCCCTGCCCAGCGGTTGCTTGTCCCTGCCCAGCTGCTTCTGTGGCTGTACTAGCTCTTCACTGTCAGGACTCCTGCCTCTGCCTTTCTCCATGTTGCCAGTTCCACCTGCACTACTGTAAGTAGGCAAGAAAAGACTACTCTAAAGAAATTGTCTATTGTGCTGGATGTTGCAACACTAGAGGGGGCAGTGCAGGAGGTGTCTCCCAGCCCAGTTTCTGAGTCAGAGGAACATCCTGCTTGCACGTCCAGGAAAAGAGTGTGTGCACCAATCACAGCACACCTAACATGCAAATAAAGATTTGTGTTTGCACCAGTCATAGCTTTGGCTCTTCAACATCTATCTCTCTGCTAGACTGCTAGGGGAAGTGCCTTCTCCCTGACCTAGGGGAAATGGTTACAGGATCATCTAGAGTTCACAATGCTTCTGAAAACAAAAAGTTCAGTACAGACTGAAACAGCCCTGGCAGAGGCTGTGCCTCTAGGAGCTGGAGTAGTCAGCTACAGTCATTATGTAGTTTCCTCAAAGCATGCAATGCTCAAGAAGGCTGGTGCTGGCCTGAGGGTAGTTCAGCCAACTGTTTGAGGGACAGTCCTTTTTTTTTAGGCAGCTAGAGCAGCAAGAGAGTCAGTTGCCCTTCTGGCAACGTCTTTGTGTATTTATAGGAAAATGAACATTAGAAGGAATGCTTCTAAGAATGTAAAGAGCCTATTGTAGTCTCTAATAGGTAGCAGTGCTTTAGCAATGCCTAATCCTTTCCTGGCGCCCAAGGAGAGAGTCCCCTTATTTGTCTGTTTCATTTACCATGACAGGCTTCTAGCTCCATCCATATTGCTTCAAGTGAGAAAATTTCATTCTTCTTAGGGCTGAGTTGTATTAAAAGTAGATTGACTTTGGCACACTCCACCTGTGAAGATGACTCCTATGAGGTGGTGAGTGTGAAAGCATAGCGTGTATTCATAGACTGGGTAAGAGTCAAAGGCCATCAGAGGTAATTATGACTTTTTCCCTCTTAAAAATATAAGCTGTGGGAGTTGGAGAGATGTCTCAGTGGTTAAGAGCACTGGCTGCTCTTGCAGAGGACCCGGGTTCAATTCTCAGCACTCGTAGGTGGCTAACAACCATCCATAACTCCAGTTCCAGGGGATCCAATGCTTTCTTCTGACCTCTGCGGGCATTGTACGACATGGGTGCATTTACACACATGTGGCCAATACACTCATACACATAAAATTAAAAAAAAAAATACAAGTTGTAACTCCTACTGATTGTTCCTGGTTTTGTTTTGGCAGTACATAGCCTCTGCTCTTGGAGCTGCTGCAGCCTCTGAGCAGAGGTCTGAGCCCCCCTACCCTGGGTCTATGTCTATAACATATGCATGCAAATTAAACACATACTGATAATAAATCATAAAGGAATTTGCTCAAATATTTCCTTGGTGTGCATATAATTTCAGCATTTATTAAAGATGAAAGCAAAGTAGATATTATTGAGATGGATGTTTGTTTATTTTTATGTAAAGAATTAAAGCTTTGTTAAATATTTGATGCTGTAGGATATAGAGCACAGAGTTGATTGATATTTTGATTTTGTAATAATCAATGCCAAAAAGTCCCTTCATAAGTAGTACAAAATAGCGGAAACATGTGTAGAGCCATTTCAGAAATTTTTGAGAATTCTGCCCTAATCCCAAGCCAAATTCATTGAATGAGGTGTTTTTTTTTTTTAATGCAACTCTAGCCAGCAATTCAATCAGCTACTAAAAAATGACATTATTTATTTCTGTGTGTATATGCACATATACTTGTGGAAGTCAAAGACAACTTGTGGGAGTCAGTTCTCCTTTTCTACTATGTGAGTCTCAGGGATTGAACTCAGCTTGTCAGACTTGTAGGCAGGTACCTTTACCTGCTGAGCCATCTCACTGGCCCAAACAGCTACTTCTAAAATCAAACATTCTAACACAATCCAATCCAAAAGTATACATACTGAGGATGATGGCAGGAAAATATTAAAGGTCTTTGCTTTTTGTAAGCAAGCCATTATGTTCTTATAAGAGCAGAAAACTATGTACATTAAAAACATTGCCATTCAATTGATAGGTGCTAGGAAAGGGAGAGTCAGTTTTCATTACTGGTGTGTCATCTGATAGGTGGACCAGACTCTAAGATATAGACCCTCACCCAAGAGCTCTTGAGAAACACAGATCAGATTCATTGGCCTTATAAAAAGGACAAATAATAATAGAGGACATGATGTCAGGGATGAGGTGTAGTAAGGTGGAGGTGGAAAAAGGGTAGGGGGTTTGACTATGAATAAAATACATTGTATGAAATTCTTGAATCAATAAAAATACTTTAAAAAAACCATTGACACTGATAACATACAGTGGTTTTAAATCTGAGCTGAGGTGTTTCAGGCAGTGATCATGGGTGCTGCATAGTGTGAGGGCATGTGCAGTGTAGAGTGCAAGTGTTGTGTGTTCAGAACCAAGGCTGGGATGAAGTTATGTAACACAGCATGTGGGCACTGCCAGAAACACCTTGGGTTCATTACCTTTGTGTGTGTGTGTGTGTGTGTGTGTGTGTGTGTGTGTGTACGCGCATGTGCGCAGGTGGAGACCAGAGGTCAATGTTGGGTGTTTTCTATGGTTCTCCACTTTATATGTTCAGGCAAGGTCTTTTATTGAGCTGGAGCTCACTGATTCAGCAAGATTTGCTGCCATCCACCTCCAGGAATCTTCTTGTTTCTATCTTATCAGTGACAGGATTATAGGTTTGCACCACCACACCCAGCTTTTTATGTGGGTGCTGGGGGTTTGAACCCAGGTTCTCATGCTTATGTGGTACACTTTTTCTGACAGAGCTGTTTCTCTAGGCTTCTCCTGTTTGATTTTGAATTAATTTTTGGTAGTTACACGTTAAGAAACTTTTACTATTACCAAATTATTCATGACCCTCACATTTAGTTACATGACCTGGTATGGGGGGTTTAACCCGTAGTTTAA